GGCCAGATTGGCCAGGGAGGTGTGTTGCTTTCCTCTGGGCGTAGAACAGGGATCCCTGCGGGAGTGGGCGACGGAAGGCAGTTGTGAATTTCCTGCCTTGTGCAGGGGGTTGGACTAGATGACCCTTGGGTTCCCTTCCAGCTCTTAACATTCTTTCTTTTCTTTTTTTAGCCCCCCGTAGGGGATTTTTTTAAATTTGCTTTTTCTAAAAACGACAACGAGATTGAGGGAAGGGTCCACAAACTATGGGAGACAGTAAAGAAAACCCACAAAAAACCCAAGAGATGGTGATCATACACAATGCTTATAGAATTAGTGTCAGCTTAAAGTGCGATTAAAGCTCATTGTATGTTGTCAGTCCTGATCTTCGCCCTGTGACCGAAACAATACATAACACCTGCGCATTTGACTTAATAAAGAACAATATAAGAAACAGTTAATACTCATGTAGCTTTCTAGAAGCAATAACAACTCAACATCTATCCTTTTCCTTTCTCAACTGATAAGCTTTATTGGGGGGGGGGCTGCCACCCCAGGATTCGAATCTGTCAGAAAATGCCACTTCTCCATCTTCGTCACTCTCCTTGGTACTGTCATCTTCCTCTTTATCTTCTTCACCTGCTGGTTGGTTATGACGTTGCAAAAACTCCAGTGCCTTTCCGTGTTTCGGTCGCCCCTGGGCGCTTGCTCAAATTGCCCTGCAGGACTGTGTTTGGAAGGCCCTGCAGCCACAGGGAAAGGCCTTGAGCTCCAGGCGAGAAAGGCTTTATTTGGGGCTCCCGCCCCCATGGGCTCCACATCCTTCAGCTTGAAGGGGGCGCCTGGCTTCCCAAGGCAATCACTGCCGGCTGAAGGGCTCTCGAGGCAGCCGGCCATTGTCGGCGAGGCGGGCATCTTCGGCGGTTATTAATAGCCAAGGCGGTGGGAGGCGCAGAGCCGCCCCTGCGTCTGGCTCCTCCAGCGGCACGACTCCCCTGGCCAGGCAGACAAAACCCAGGAGGGTGGGGGAGAGCCAGGAAGACCGGAGCTGGCCGAAAGCCTCCCTGCCCGGCGGACGGGTCTCCCGCCCAAACGAGGCCAGAGGAGAGGCAGGGGCGGGGCTGCCAACTTCCAGCTGGGGCCGGGACATCTCCCAGCACGGTGTTGCTGTTCAGTCGCACAGCCGATTCCGACTCTTTGCGACCGGCGTTCCCTCTAAGCTGAGTGAGTGTGAGCCAGCTCACAGTTTTTTTAGCCTCCGGCTCACCCATTTTTGTCTCCGCTCAGGAAGGACGGGCTCCAGAGCAGACTGATTGACGCAGCAGCCAAATCACTCGCTCGCAACTTGAATGCCAGGAGCTCCCAAAGTAGGATTTTTGCTCACAAGACTCCACAGCTTAGAGGGAGCATTGTTCGCGACCCCACGGACCATATCCCGCCAGGCCCTCCTGTCTTCCGTCGTGCTCCAGACGTTGCTTAATTTCATGCTCGTTGCATCAATAACACTGTCTGACCATCTCATCCTTTGCCGTCCTGTTTTTCTTTGACCTTCAATCTTTCCCAGCATCAGGGTCTTCCTCGCCAGTGAGGGCTCCCTTCTCATTTGGTGGCCAAAGTATTTGAGCTTCAGCTTCAGGATCTGGCCTTCCAGGGAACAGTCAGGGTTGATTTCTTTTAGGATTGACCAGGGGTCATTTCCTAGAAAAAGAGATGCAGTAGCTTATTAGCATAACCCATTAGCATGACTTATTTGCATATGCCACACCCCCTGACATCACCAAAAGTGTGTCAGAAGGTAACACCCACTGCTCAGGCTCCACTGGACTGTTTTGGATGGCTAGCTATGGGGGGGGGTTCCTCACACAGATATGCCCTCACAGAGGAGGGAGAACTTGTACTTGAATAAAACTTGGTCTTAAAGCTGCCACTGGACTGGGGGGGGGGGGGCTCGGGCAACTTACCTGGCTGCTTCTTGCTCCTCGTGGCCCGGGGGCTGCTGGGAGCAGGGGGCGGGGCTTGTTGCATGTACCCGCCCCCTGGGCTCTTTACTGCCAGAGGTCCACTCCTGTGCGCTCCTGCAGGAAATGACCCCTGGGATTGACTGATTTGATCTCCTGGCAGTCCAAGGGACTCTCAAGAGTCTTCTCCAGCACCATAATTCAAAAGAATCTATTCTTCGCCACTCGGCCTTCCTTATGGTCCAACTCTCGCAGCCATACATGACTACTGGGAATACCGTCACTTTGACGATACGGACTTTTGTTGGCAGTGTGATGTCTCTACTTTTTATCATGCTGCCTAGGTTCACCATCGCTTTCCTCCCCAGGAGCAGGCGTCTTTTAATTCCATGGCTGCAGTTGCCGTCTGCAGTGATCTTGGATCCCAGGAACGTGAAGTCTGCCACTTCTTCCAGCATGGTAACCAAATCTCTAAACTGGAGACTGGTTCCCCTGCGCTGTTTGGAAGGATAGATTCTCTGGTGTTATATCCTGTTGAGGTCCCTCCCCAAATATGAAAATGCAGAAACTCTCCCCAATTTTTTTTTAAGACAAGTAGTAATACTCATAGGCATATACTGAACATTTGAACATCTACAGCATTCCAAAGGAATGTTCAGAAGAATGTAATGCACATCATACAGCCACACAAACCACAGATACCTTAAGTGGTACAATCCAAAATAGTCCACAAGCACAAGGCCTCCTAGGGGCAATAACAGACCATAGAGAAAATGCGGTCTGGCATACCCCAATGGTAACGCATGTTATCTTAAGACTATTTCGAAGACAATCCTTCATCAAGGTCCATCAGTGGCTATTAGCCACAAGGTAAGCTAGTCGTGCCGGCCACATGACCATGAAAATGTCTTTGGACAGCGCTGGCTCTTCGGCTTGGAAACAGAGATGAGCACCGCATCCCTAGAGTCGGATTTTACTGGCTTTCGAGCAAGGGAAACCTTTACCGTTATAGATAGCAACTCTCGGTCTGGGGCAAGTGATGCACTGTATTCTTGGTGCTTGGGGGGGGGGCAAAAGTGGGAGGGCTTCTAGTGTCCTGGCCACACCACTGGTGGACCCCCTGACGGCACCTGGGATTTTTGGCCACTGTGTAACAGAGGAGTGTTGGACTGGATGGGCCATCGGCCTGATCCAGCATTGGCTTCTCTTATGTTCTTACGGTCTTAAAGGGTCTAGTGAGTCAAGGTAGGTACAATGACCCTGCACACATCAGAATGCTATTTCTTACTAAGTGGAGTCAAAGGCCTCCTAGCAAATACATGGTATCAAGTCTAGGAGGCAAAAGGTCCGTCGGGGTATACCGGAGAGTATTTTCCTCTATGGACTGTTATTGTCCCTAGGAAAGCGTGTGCTTGTGGACTATTTTGGGTTGTACCACTTTTTGTACCACTTTTTAAGCATCCTCTGTCTGTGGTTTGTGTGGCTGTATGATGTGCATTGCATTCTCTTGAACATTCTCATTGAACAGTGAAGTGGCTAAATTTGCGGATGATACAAAGTTGTTCAGGGTGGTGAAAACCAGTGAGGATTGTGAGGCACTCCAAGGGGATCTGTCAAGGATGGGTGAGTGGGCGTCAACATGGCAAATGGGGTTCAATGTGGCCAAGTGCAAGGTGATGCACATTGGAGCCAAAAATCCTAAATATAAATACACATTGATGGGGTCTGAACTGGCAGAGACTGAGCAAGAGAGAGATCTTGGAGTTGTAGTAGATAACTCACTGAAAATGTCGAGACAGTGTGTGACTGCAATAAAGAAGGCCAATGCTATGCTGGGGATTATTAGGAAGGGTATTGAAAACAGATCAGCCAATATAATAATGCCCCTATATAAATCAATGGTGAGACCTCATTTGGAATACTGTGTGCAGTTCTGGGCACCACACCTTAAAAAAGATATTATAGCTTTGGAAAAAGTGCAGAAAAGGGCAACTCGAATGATAAAAGGGTTGGAACACTTTCCCTATGAGGAAAGGTTAAAGCGCTTAGGGCTCTTTAGCTTGGAGAAAAGACGACTGAGGGGTGACATGATCGAGGTTTATAAGATTATGCATGGGAAAGAGCAGGTAAAGAAAGAGGTACTTTTCTCCCTTTCTCACAATACAAGAACTCGTGGGCACTCCATGAAACTGCAGAGCGGTCGGGTTAGAACGGATAAAAGGAAGTACTTCTTCACCCAAAGAGTGATTAACACATGGAATTCACTGCCACAGGAAGTGGTGGGTGCTACATGCATGGACGGCTTCAAAAGGGAATTAGATAAGCATATGGAGCAGAGGTCCATCAGTGGCTATTAGCCACAAGGTATAGCTAGGGGCTCTGGGGCAAGTGATGCTCTGTCTTCTTGGTGCTTGGGGGGGGTCAACAGTGGGAGGGCTTCTAATGTCCTGGCCCCACTGCTGGACCTCCTGATGGCACTGGTATTTCTGGCCACTGTGTGACACAGAGTGTTGGACTGGATGGGCCTTTGGCCTGATCCAACATTGGTGTCTCTTATGTTCTTATGTTCTTATTCTTTTGAAGCGTTGCATGTTCTTAAATATTCGCTATATGCCTATGAGCAGGGGTCATTTCGTAGAAAAAGAGGTGCATGGGCTCATTAGTATAACTCATTAGCATAACTTATTTGCATATGCCACGCCCCCTGACATCACCGGTCCAGCAACACCTTTAAGACCAAGTTTTATTCAGGTGCAAGCTCTCCCTCCTCTGCGAGGACAGATCTGCATGTTCCCTTCCCCCCCAAAAAGCTAGCAATCCAAAACAGCCCAGTGGAGCCTGAGCGGTGGGTGTTGCCTTCTGACACACTTCAAATAAGTTATGCTAATGAGCTCCTGCACCTCTTTTTCTACTAAATGACCCCTGTTTACAGTACCAATATCGAGAGGCGCTCAGGCAATGTGGTAACGGGAGAGGGGAGGCCGTCCCCGGCCTATCGCTTGCCATCTGACCCTTTCCTCTTCTCCCCGCAGGGCCTGGGTGGGGACGGCGCGTGTCAGTACCATGGAAAAACTCTTCCTGCCTCTCTTGATGCTTGGCACCATGGCGAGAGCGCAGCATTGCCCCGGGCGCTGCATCTGCCAGAACATCTCCCCGACGCTGACCATGCTGTGCGCCAAGACGGGCCTCCTCTTCGTCCCGCCCTCCATCGACCGGCGCACGGTGGAGCTGCGCCTGACCGACAACTTCATCACCGTCATCCGCCGCAAGGACTTCTCCAACATGACCAACCTGGTGCACCTCACCCTCTCGCGCAACACCATCAGCCAGATCCTGCCCTTCGCCTTCTCCGACCTGCGTGCCTTACGAGCCCTGCACATGAACAGCAACCGCCTGGCCGTCCTGAAGAACGAGCACTTCCGGGGACTCGGCAACCTCCGGCACCTCATCCTGGGGAACAACCAGATCAGCCGCATCGAGGCATCCTCCTTCGACGAGTTCCTCGCCACCGTGGAAGACCTGGACCTCTCCTACAACAACCTGGAGACGCTCCCCTGGGAGGCCGTCGGCCAGATGGTGAGCCTCAACACCCTGACGCTGGACCACAACCTCATCGACCACATCGCCGAGGGCACCTTCTCCCAGCTCCACAAGCTGGTGAGGCTGGACATGACCTCCAACCGGCTGCAGAAGCTGCCCCCGGACAACCTCTTCCTGAGAGCTCAAGTCATGGCCAACGCTCGCGGGACTCACCCGTCCACCTTGACCATCAGCTTCGGCGGCAACCCGCTGCACTGCAACTGCGAGCTCCTCTGGCTCCGGCGGCTGACGAGGGAAGACGACTTGGAGACCTGTGCCTCCCCAGAGCACCTGATGGACAAGTACTTCTGGTCGATCCCCGAGGAGGAATTCATCTGCGAGCCCCCCCTCATCACCCGCCAGTACTCCACCAAGGCGTTCATCATGGAAGGCCAAGGGGTGAGCCTGAAGTGCAAAGCGGTGGGCGACCCGGAACCCTCCATCCACTGGATCGCCCCCGACGGCAAGCTGATCCACAACACCACCCGCATGACGGTCTATGACAACGGCACGCTGGAGGTCCTCATCACCACCCTGAAGGACAACGGCATCTTCACCTGCATTGCCTCCAACGCCGCCGGAGAGGCCACGGCCCCCGTGGAGATCTACATTGTGCCCCTGCCACTGCTGGTCAACAACACCGGCCACATGAAGGAGCCCGACCCCGGCTCCTCGGACATCACCACCTCCACCAAATCGGGGGCCAACGACACGAAGAACCACCTGGACAAGAAGATCGTGGCGGCCGATCTGACGTCCACCTCGGTGGTCATCCACTGGCCTTCCGAGCGGCACATCCCCGGCATCCGCATGTACCAGATCCAGTATAACAGCAGCCTAGATGACTCTCTGGTTTACAGGTGAGGAGAACGTGAAAGGGATTTGGGCCACAAGAGGAGGCAGTGGCCTCGTGATCGGGGCTCTGTGTCTGGTGAGCAGGGTTCCCTCTACGCCGGGTGAGCATGAGCCAGCTCACCGTTTTTGTAGCCTCCGGCTCACCCATTTTTGTCTTCGCTCAGGAAGGAGGGCTCCGGAGCAGACTCACGTATGCAGCAGCCAAACCGCTCGCTACACAACTGGTATGCAGTGTTCCCTTTAAGCTGAGTGAGTGTGAGCCAGCTCGCAGTGTTTTCAGCCCCCGGCTCACACATTTTTGTCTTCGCTCAGGAAGGAGGGCTCCGGAGCAGACTCACGTATGCAGCAGCCAAACCGCTCGCTACACAACTGGTATGCAGTGTTCCCTTTAAGCTGAGTGAGTGTGAGCCAGCTCGCAGTGTTTTCAGCCCCCGGCTCACACATTTTTGTCTTCGCTCAGGAAGGAGGGCTCCAGGCAGCGTTCCCTCTAAGCTGAGTGAGTGTGAGCTAGCTCACAGTGTTTTCAGCCCCCGGCTCACACATTTTTGTCTTCGCTCAGGAAGGAGGGCTCCAGGCAGCGTTCCCTCTAAGCTGAGTGAGTGTGAGCTAGCTCACAGTGTTTTCAGCCCCCGGCTCACACATTTTTGTCTTCGCTCAGGAAGGAGGGCTCCAGGCAGTGTTCCCTCTAAGCAGAGTGAGTGTGAGCTAGCTCGCAGTGTTTTCAGCCCCCGGCTCACATATTTTTGTCTTCGCTCAGGAAGGAGGGCTCCAGGCAGCGTTCCCTCTAAGCTGAGCTAGTGTGAGCCAGCTCACAGTTTTTTAGCCTCCGGCTCACACATTTTTGTCTCAGCTCAGGAAGGAGGGCTCCAGAGCAGGGTTCCCTCTAAGCTGAGTTAGTGTGAGCTAGCTCGCAGTTTTTTTCAGCCCCCGGCTCACACATTAGGAGGTCCACCAGTGGGGACAGAATTCCAGAAGCCCTCCCACTGTGGCCCCTCCAAGTGCCAAGAATACCGAGCATCACTGCCCCAGACAGAGCATTCCATCTATACCTTATTAATGTAGAGAGCCAGTTTGGTGTAGTGGTTATGAGCACAGACTCTAATCTGGGGGGACTTGGTTTGATTCCCCACTCCTCCTCCACCTGCAGCTGCTGGTGTGACCTTGGGTCAGTCACAAGTTCTCTCAGAGCTGTTCTCTCAAGGGCAGTTCTCAAGAGAGCTCTCTCAGCCCCGCCTACCTCACAGGGTGTCTGTTGCAGAGAGGGGAAGGGAAAGGAGACTTTAAACCAATCTGAGACTCCTTTGGGTAGTGAAGGGCGGGGTATAAATCCAACCTCTCCTTCTCTCTTCTACTTGCCAGGGTCGGCCCCGCCTAGCTTTCGAGATCTGACGAGATCGGGCTCGCCTGGGCTATCCAAGTCAGGGCTGATACTTTGCAAATCTGGTTGTCATTTAAGGTGTTCCAGGACCCAAATCTAACTTTTCGACTACAGCCCAACAGGGCTCCCCTTTGGAATTCCAGTTATGATTGAATGTAAGCTGTGTGGGATGGGGGAGGGAACAGAGATGTTGGAGCTGGGTGGGCGCACCCCACGAGATCAATGCACGACAACCTTTGATGTGGGAGGAGCAGTTTCCTGAAGTTTAACCATTTGTGGTTATTGGGTGCTACAGGCTGCGCCTGGAAGTTGTGACGTCCTCGCTTATAGGGGAAATGGGCTTACCTTTAAACACTCTCTGTGTATATGAACTTGGTAAGTTTTCTGCTGCCACCAGGAATTTAAATTCCAAATCTCTCTCTTTTGGTCGTATGACCCAGGGGCTGGGTACTTCAGAGGACTATGTGGCCCTGAGGAAGGACTGTCCTGATTTCTGGGATAAGTTGAAACAAAGATTGATTGATTTAATAAAGAACAAAATAGGCTTCTGGTTATTTTGAACAGGTGCTGATGAAAGGAACTTGTAAATATAACTGGCAATGCTTGGTGCCACCAACAGTCTCTCAAACTCCAAACTCCACTCTGACAGGCTTATACACCCATATATATAGCCACACAGGCTAGTCTCTTTGTTTTATTCACACTGGATAGAACCAACTCTCTTAGTCACACAGACTAAACTGTTGGTCTTATTCACACAGAATTAGACTCAGAATTCCATAGTCACACAGGCTATGCTCACTCTTCACATACAGAATCCTTCATAACTCTCAAGAGTCACACAGACTCTCTTCAAAACTCTTCCATACTTGTCTCTCTCATATCACAGAATCTCCCCATAGACACACGCACAGAGAACCCTTTCAGACACCCCTTCTCCCACATTCTCAGTCAGCAGCCAATCAAATCACCCTTGTCACCCTCTATCACTCGCCTTACAGAACTGCTTTCAAACTAAACATTTAAAGGAACACACACACCAAAACGTGGAATCATTACATACGGGTTCTTCATTTGAGGAGAAAGCTGGTTGCCAGACCTCATGACTGTGGAAGAAAGCTGTGGAGCCTGTGGGTGGGGCAGTGAGTTCCCCAGGTCCAAAGCGGGCCCGGGTGCAGACTTTTTGCATAATTTGGCCTGGCTAATGAGCAAAGTCTGTAGCCCTTCTGCCGACTTTGGCACTCTGCGTCTGCCGTGGCCTGCGTTGCCCTTCCAAGCTAGGCGGGTGCGAAGCCATCTGTAGGCAGTGGAACGCTCACTTCCAATCCGGGTGGCAGTGGGCAATTCCCCCACCGCTCTTTATCGCTCCCTCTCTCCCGGCTTTAGCGGCTCTCGTCTGAGCTGTTCAGTTAGGGGCGTTTTGTGTTTGAAACGAAAGGGACTGAAAAATGAGTCCTTTGGACGGAGAGATGGGAAATCCAGGTGGCAGAAGGAGGACAGGTGAGGGCCCCCGATTCATGTGAACGGGGCGCTTGCGGAACAGAGCAAAGCCAGGAATGGCAGGTGGGAAGGCAGATGCTGATCTGATACAATCCGCAGCTCACCGGAGCCCTTCTGTCACCAGACAGCCGGAATCCCACCTCTCAAAGACAGCTGCTCTGGATTAGAGGTGTGCATTCGGATGTCTGTGACCACACCTGTTTCCCTCCTCAACGTGGACCCTGGCCAGAGGGGACCGCTCACAGCAATTGCAGCAGACTTGTGCAGCTCGGTTGTGTGTTTGTGTAAAGTGCGGTCACGTTGCAGCTGACTTGCGGCCACCCCAGCAAGGGGCTTTCAAGGCAAGGAAGAAGCAGAGGTGGTTTGCCTTTGCCTTCCTCTGCAGAGCCTTCCTTGGTGGTGCCTTCCTTCCTTTGTGAGCAAAAATTCTACTTTATGAGCCACTGGCATTAAAGTTGTGAGCGAGTGATTTGCCTGCTGCATAAATTAGTTTGCTCTGGAGCCCCCCTTCCTGAGCTAAGACAAACATGTGTGAGCCGGAGGCTAAAAAACTGAGAGCTAGCCCACACCAACTCAGCTTAGAGGGAACACTGGTCAGGTCATCTTTGTAATTTGTTTGAGCAGCATTTTCCCCTTCACTGGGAAACACGGAGGATTGGGGATACTGCGAGGATAGCTTCTGTTCTTCCATGGCAAATTGATTTTAAAAAAAATTATGTTTAACCCAATGGGAAGCCCCCATAGAGCCTTTGGAAAACAACCCCCATGGAATCATAGAGTTGGAAGGTCCCTCCAGGGTCATCTAGTCCAACCCCCTGCACAAGGCAGGAAATTCACAAATAACCCCCC